TCGTGAGCGTTTTTTGCGCTCCGCGCTTCGCGTTGAAATAATTTTTTGCACTTCTGTTTCGTAAATATAATGAATGCAAGCAAACATGCAAACGATGCTGAGATGTACGATGGTGGGGCCATTATTGCTCGCCCGCATCCATCCAACTGACACCAAAGAAGCCGTGGCGAAATTTAATTAATTCGCTAGTTGCGCCTTGATGCGCGCGCGCGCTCGCGGTCCCTAATGCTCTTTCGTCATAGATTTGCACATTTACCGAATGCGAAGGACAACCGAAAAGTGTACGGAAAAGTGTACGCGTTACTTGCGAATGCAATAAACTCATTAAATCATCATGGCGGGGAGTGAAACGTGCGCACGGGCGAGTTTTTCATTTGTGCCGAGCGTTGCATGCTAACGAGAGTACGAATTATGGATTAATTAATTCTTAAAATTCAAAGTTTTCACTCTTTGTGAAATGTTTTTATGCGGTTGTTGTTATAACGCCCAGTGAAAACTTCAAAATTTAATTATACTTCTTTTAGAGAATTTTTAAAAATAGTAAAACTTAATTTTTCGATAAACAAATTCTAATTTCGACGAAACAAAGTTTTTAAGTAAACCAAACTCAATTAAACTTCAGTCGAAAGTTTCAATGAAATTACTTAAAAAAGCAATAATATAATTGCGGGCAAAATATCGACGGTGAAAATCAAATGTGAATCGAACGTTTATCGACTTTGAAACGCGCGTGCTCGGCACGTTCAGCAAATCGAAAATGAGCGTTTTCCATCCGAACGGATAATCTCGGTAAACAGAAAGGTCCTCGAATGCGTTATATCCAAGTGCTTAAAATCAATCAACGCCAGACTTATCGCGCTCGCTTCGGTTTTCTTTCACAATGCGCGAATAGATTTCCCATTCTGCAATATTCCATCTGCGAACACTCAATGCTCACGCGATTCAACTACAGCGAGTTTTTTCCTAGTTTATTCACATTTGTACTTTATTTTTCTAGTTATTTATTGCTGATTTTTTAAGTGGATCAAAAAATTTCTCAGTATTTTAATTACGATTTACTCCAAAAACTAAAGACGACAGAGGCAATCGGAAATTTCCTATTAGAAGTGATTATATAATTGAGAAAACAAAAGGGTTAAAAGAGTAATATCTGAGAAAAATTAGTAAAGGTAGGGGTCACCTGTGTATTCATTCAGGTACGGTGCACCAAAAGAGAGTCAGCTATGCATTCACCTTCATACGGTGCCCTGGACGAGAGTCACTTTTACCGTCACTTTCGTACGGTGCACCGAATGGGAGTCACTTTCTACCCTCGTACGATGCCCTGAATAATAGTCACTTTTACCGACAGCCTGGTACGGTGCTCTGAATGGGAGTCACTTTTACGGCTACCTTCGTACGGCGTCCTGAACACGAGTCACTCCTACCGCTGCCCTCCTACGGTGCACCGAATGGAAGTCACTTTTACTACTACCTTCGTACGGTGCTCTGAATAAGAATCACTTTTACCGCTACCCTCGTACGGTGCCCTGAATAAGAGTCACTTTTACCGGCAGCATTATATGGTGCCCTGAACGGGAGTCACTTTTACCGCTCGTACGGTGCCCTGAATAAGAGTCACCTGTGCCTACAGCCTCCTACGGTGCACCGAATGAAACTATGCGGTTCCGGATATCGCGCAAACAAAAATGATATAGATGATATCGTACAACGCAGAATTTCAAACTAATACTAATATTGTGCAAAAAAACAACTACAACGAAAAATATGTTTCAAAATTACAAAAACATTGCTAGCGTCCCTTTTAACAGATCAATTCGTCCTTTAAAGGGTTTACGCCTGATAGCATAAAACAAACGACCAAATTTAGCACTTTGCGCTGATGTGTGTCGAGTGGTGTGAAACCTTATCATCGGTTTACGTCGAAAATAAAATCAAGCGTAAACCGAATGTAAAATCCGAAATAAAATTCTCTCCAATTCTTTAATCAGAATTGTTAGAAAAGCTATTCTCACAAAAATAATATCTATACGGGCGAGATCTTAAAGACAAGTCTCATATATAGATCTAGTTCACGCATTGATCTGTTCCCGGCTCCTCGGATGGCGACCCTCGTTCAGACATCGCGTCGCCAGCACTGACGCCGCGTCGTCTTGGCGCTATGCCGCACAACAACCGCCGCCTACGCCGCCACCACTACAATTACACTTCGTGGCGCACAAACATCCACAGATTGCAGCTTCAATTGAACCTCATTCTCTGTCCCTTCATGCAATATTATAGGTTTTCTTCGTGCGGTTTTAAAAAACAAACAAAAATTTATTTCTCGATGCACTTAGACTTATTAACTGTAAAACTAGTTTTGTAACGTTGGTCATTATATTTCAGCCAATTATAATTCTATTGTATAAAGTAGAGTAAAGAAGTTGTAATAATAAAGTAAAGTTTGTTGGTGAAATGCAAAAATGCAAATGACATTTAAAACTTGTTCGCTCTAGTTCAACGAAAGAAAGTTTTGATTATTTCTGTTTTCGATTTTCTTTTTCATGCTGAGATCAACCTCGAGAACGTAATAATTCTTCCGCGGATAAACCTGTCTATTGTCCACGAGTCCACGAGACTTTACAGCGGGCGATAACTTTTTCCTTCGTCCTGTTTGCCGGATTTCCGGTCGCATTGTGCCCGCGCGCAGCAGGTACTCGCCGTCGATTTATTGCGTTATCGTTCTTTTAATTACAGATAGGCGGTTGTGCACGATTGTCTTACTCTGTGGTGCGCAACGCAAAGAGAACAACGACCCCAGCAAACCACAAACACAAATTTAATATATTTTTGTTTAATTCATATTGTTTATCAACAAAATAACGAAACTAGAACGTAAAACAATTCAAACAATTATTGTGTGTTGTGTGTATTTGCATAGATTTTTTGACGAGTCGGTCGAATATCAAAATGTTTGTTTTATCTCTGGAAATTTAAAACTTTGTTTGTGATAATAACACGCGGTGCTGAGTCCCGCGCCGCGATAAATTTTCTATGAAGTATTGATTGCCAAAATGCGAGTTATTTGCAACGCTTTCAAACAGTGAGTGTGATATTTGAGTTCTCCGTCAATGCTTATTAATTCTCGCTCTTGTTTTGTCTGCTAGTGCTTTTCGGTTATTGCCGCTAGCAAAATATATCCATAACAATAAGTGCTCGTTGAATATCAAACTGATATTCTTTAATTTATTATTCTAACTATATACAGTGCACTGTGCACTGTCGAAGCATCGATATCTAACAAAAGGTATTGATGACGCAAAAATTCCTTTCTTCGCATAATCCGCATCCGCCTGCTATTCAATAGCTTTCGCTACTATTCATACCAAAGCATAAATTTGCTAGCGTTCGATAATAATAAAAAAAAATTACGCTATTCTTTAAATATTAATTTGATATTTGATATTCAGTTACTCCTACTCCTATATCAGAGGATTAACATTTATACAATGATAATAATATAGTTTTGGTTTATAATCTGTGTTTATCTTTACTTGTTTACCACCAGGCGAATAAAATTCATCGAAGTGAAATGAAATTATGAATTTTAATATAAATTTGATATTTTGACATAAAATTATGTCCAGAATATTAATAAAATGTGTAACATAAACTTTATACTGCTAAACATAAATAATTGAGATATAAAATCAAATATCCATTCAAAATGGAATTTTATCGATGTTTGTAAGCGAATAAATGATACAATCCGTGTGATAAATTACTTCAATTGTCCAACAATTTGTTCCAGCTCACATCAGCCACTCCGAGCGATATATTTAAAACTCTTTATTTAATGCTATTGCGTTTTATCAACGATTTTATCATTAGTATTGTATTATACTGTGACTGTAACATGACAGTTTTAAGTTTAAAGAGTAATATATCATGATTTACTTCATAAATTTACATTTAAAAAACGTCAGAAAATGTAAATATTGATGAATAATTGAATATTTCAATTATTTTTCATTTTAATTACTAGAAAAGTTTGCAACACAATAAAACTGTTAGAGTTTCGAAAACAAAATGAAAAATTGATCCCGTGCGAATCACAATTTCGAAAACTAGCGCGTTAAAGCATTAATGCTGTTTGCCGAGGTCACCTCGAGTTAATAATAACATTCAACAACCGCCAATGCATATTTAATAAATTGCAACTCGCAATAATTTTACTATTTCTATAACCTATTGTATAAGCGCTTAAAATTAAAAACTTTTTAATCAATATGCAAACAAAACATTATATTAGCATATAAATAAATTATTATGATATATTAATATGAATTCTGTTTCGGAAAAGTGTGGAACATTTAATTATTCACGTAGAATGTTGTTTCTTTGAAAGGCAGTTAATGGGGATGCACCGCCTGCACATTTTTTTTATTTTTCATTTAAACGCGCTGCACTCCGATGACTGAATTTTAATTAATTTCGGCTGCACAAAGCTGAAAACGATATCTTCCTTACCAGCAGTGTAATATTAAATTACATAAACATAAAATTATTTGTAATAAAACAAATTTATGCAATAAATCTATTATCTAACTTTATTATGATATAGATGAATGGAAAATCATTAAAACTGGTTTGAAATGTTTGTTTGGGCCTGGTCTCTAGAGTGACTCAACGTGTAAAAATGTTTCGCGTTTTTTGTTTGTTTATTTTGATTCAAAACCACCCTCGCGAGCAAAATTAACGCCGACGACCGCCGAGGTTTTCCGTTTTCCATCATGCGTGATTGAAAATGCGTCAGAACGCGAATTTATCGCGACCGCAACACAAACCGCGATACTCTCAGGGCGAGTACAACTCGACGGCGAGTTTTTATGTCTGTACATCATCCATGTTTAATTAAACACAGCGAATCTGATTTGTTTCATTTCGATGACAAATCGACAGGTGTGTACCCTGCGTACAATCATAACACACTCACCCATACAGAGAAAACAAACAAATTCAGGTAATTAATTCTTTTATCAATCAACGAATGAAAATATAATTGATTTTTCTTCGAAATGTTTCAATCAGCATCGATGAACAAATCTTCCAGATGTATAGATTCAATAAAACTATTTTTAGTACATAATGGTACTATTGGTGCATCCTCGGGGAAAAACTCAGAGTCTGATAAAGTTACCAAGTCGTGTGGGCCGGTTTCACCCCAATCGCTACAATCATCGTCTTCGATTTTATACGTGTCGCGGTGAAGGCGTCCCTCGTCACCGTTATCGCTGTATCTTGCATCGCTATAACAATCACTGTCGTCGACATCGTCGTCGTGAAGATTTCCCACATCACCATCTTGGTATAGCAAACCATCGTCGTCAATGGGTGAGTCCAGCTCGATACCACCCAATTTCCTGCCGATCGCACGCCATTCAAACGCCACAGCTCTTCGGGATCGCAAACTTTCCCTTCGCTCTTCATAATTATCAACTTGATGATTTAACAGTGCATCTGCATCGATGTAGTTTTGCTCTACATCGATACACTCAATTTCCAATGATGTGATTTCAATATTTTCCAATTCATTATCGTATAAATCTATGTATTTCAATCTGGGCATGTTTGTCAGGTTGATTGTACTTAAATGATTTTTAGACGCGTGTAATTCTTCTAATGATTGTAAACTGCTTAAATCTGGCAGTGAATATATGCAGTTGTGTGAAATACCCAAAATCATCAAGTTTTGTAAGTTGTAAATATTTGCGGGGATGTTAAGTAGTAAATTGTGTTTTAAATGTAATTCTTTTAAATGAATTAACTTGCAGACATTGCTTGATAATTCAGCGATATGTAAATTGATTAATTTAAGTATTTTTATGTGTCTATACCATAAGGCATTGTTGAAAAGTTCATTTATGTCATTGAAAGCATTTATATTCTTTTGATCTGAATCACAATTACTAATATCTAAATATTGCAGAAGAGGAAAACTCTTGAAGAAATCTAGCATGTGTTGTCTTAACCCGACGTTGTTAAACACTATTTTTTTTAGCTTAACGATAAGTTGCGGCAAATCAGAGCGTTTTAAATAAGATACTTTGTTTTTACTGAAATATAATTCCTCTAAACTTTTCGTTTTCATTTCTTCTATCCATATAGGCAAATTATTAAGCATGCAATTTTCTAAGTTTAATATTTTCAATGACTCAACGCATTTTGGTGCAATAGGAAAGTTTTTTATAGGATTATCTGCTAAATTAAGGACCTGAATGTTTTTTAAACCTAAATATAAACATTCAGGGACACTATTTAAGGAATTATCCATTAAATCCAACTCAAGTAAATTTAAAAGGTGCAAATCATTTGGCAGTTCTTTTAACTTGCAGTTTCTTAGTGATAATGCTCTTATACGAGTATAGTCTAAATTAATAATATTGCTACTTATATCTCTAATAAAATGACCAGTCTGTGGTGTTAGGCGGATTTCAAATTGTTCATAGCCGTTTGTTGATAAATCATCATTCGTGTTATTAGATACTAACGTAATATAAGGTTCCCCAGGCTTTATTGGTATGGAAACTATTGTTATTTTGTGTTTTTCGACAGATTCTGTACTCACAGATGGACTAGCAAAGCACAAATCTGGCATTTTAGGTTATAACATTAAATTACCGTAAAAGTCTTTAAAATTATTTGACTTCGTGAGAACTTTAAATGCAGCCTACCTTCAAATGGCTTCTAGGTTCTGAAATAATAGAAAATAAGTGTATTAGTTTACAATTGTGTTAACTTACTAAAAAAAAGTTCCAATGTGTACAAGTTAATATGTACTGAATGACAGATTAATATTCAAACATTAAAACTTGTTGATTACTGTTTATATTGCAGAATTAAATGCATACCAATCCTAAAAGTTGTTTTATGCTGATAATAACATTTACTTTGTTTATTTATAACGATTTATAACATTTATTAGAATTTAGAACTAATGTGTATACTGCTCAGTTGATTTTAGTGTTTTAACGTAGGCAACTTTTCATACGCGTCAAGAGACTAGAGGAGGGTCATTCAAATTTTTCTAAGTAACCTAAAACCATAACAAAACCCGCGAAATAACTTCTTCTCTAGTAGTGAATGAAGAAAAAGGTTTAAAATGACTGAATTAAAACTTGATACACCTGAGGAATTCCCATTCCCGTTTACACCATACAAAATTCAAGAAGATTTCATGAAGCAACTGTACACAGCATTGGAACAACAAATGTGTGGCATATTTGAAAGTCCCACAGGAACTGTAAGTATCTTTGCTAAATAAAACTATAATTCAATGCTAATTAACAAATTGTCAGGGAAAATCATTAAGTATTATCTGTGGAGCAATTAAATGGTTGAAAGATTACAATGAACTCAAACAAAACTCTTTAAAAGACAAAATAAATGAACTTCAACAACAAATTAAAGAGCTGCAAAGTGAATCAACAGATTGGTTGACTTCGCAATCAAAAGAAATAGAAATAAGTAGAGAATTACATAAATTGAAACTAGAAGATAGCAAAATTGAAGAATATTACAAGAAAATCAATGATTTAAAGAGAAACAAGAGGAAAATGCTGAAAAGTTTCAGTGCATTCCAAGGGAAAGAAAATAAATCAAATAATAGTAATAAAATGAATGATTCGCAAGATGAAAATGTGCCTGATGTTGAAGATGATGATCTGTTACTAGATGACGTTGTTGAAGTAAGAAATGAAGATGATATTGAAGATGAAATTGAAGAAAAGTACAGTCCAACAAAGGTACCAATCAAATTTCTTCTAACTTTAGAAAAAATAAACTAATTTAAAGATTTCTTATACTTTTAGATTTATATTTGCAGTAGGACACATTCACAACTGTCACAACTTGTTGGTGAAATAAGAAAATCACCTTATGGGAAAGATATAAGAGTAGTTTCTTTAGCATCAAGGCAAAACTACTGCATAAATCCAGTTGTAAATCATTATAAAAATAACGCACTAATAAATGAAAAGTACAATAATTATAAAACTAACATCTGTTGTGATTTACTTGATAATATTCAATTTTAGATGTTTAGATATGCAGAAAAACTCAAAAAACAAAGCCACCAAGGTTGATTTACAAGGAAAAACGCTCAAAAGAAAGAAAACAGAGACAAATTGCAAGTGTAAATTCTTCAAACAAGAAGCAGTTGAAGATTTGAGGGATGCAATCATATTAAATGTATTAGATGTTGAGGATTTAGTCTCAACTGGCAAAGATTTTGCAGCGTGTCCTTATTATGCAAGCAGGAAAGCTGTGGATGATGCTGAAGTGATTCTTGTGCCATATAATACTATTTTACACAGAGCAACAAGAGAAGCTAATGGTAATAATTGAATTTAAATGTTTAAAATATATCTAAACGTGAATCTTTAGGTATTAAATTGAAAGATAATATTGTGATCATTGATGAAGCTCACAATCTGTTGGACGCGTTGGGACAAATGTATGGAGCTACCGTAACAATTGCACAATTACAACATGCGCATCAACAATTAAAAGGGTATAAAACAAAGTATGGTAAGAGGTTTTCAGCTGGCAATTTGTTGTGTATAAATCAACTTTTAACAATCGTGACTGCTTTGAAGAATGTATTTGGTGAGTATGTGTATAATAAGTTGCCTATAGTCAACCTGCATTAAATATGAAATCTTTAACGGTTTTAATTTTAAAGATTCGCAAAAAGTGATAGAAAACGACGGAACAAAGATATTTACAGTGAATGATTTTGTTTCACTTGCTGAAATTGATCATTTTAACATGTTTAACTTGGTTGAATTCGTTAAAAACAGCAAATTATCGCAGAAAGTAAGTAAATTTTAATGTTTTTCAACCAAAAAAAAATCATAATTATTCTTTAGTTGCATGGTTTTACTCTAAGATATTCCGAACAACCTATTATAAAACCAAAAGTTAAAATAGAAACACTCGAAGATGGATACAAGAAATTTCAAGAGAGTATCAACGAAGAATTGAATCAAAACAAACCGAAAACAAGTAAAAGTAAAAACGCGATAACAAAAAAAGTAAACACGGTCACAACTGCAACTACACAAACAGTTAAAAATGTCGAAGTTAAAACACCGCAACCAGCAAACCCGTTATTAACTATCGTATCATTCCTTGAGACGCTACAAAACGTGGAAAAAGATGGCCGCATATTAATGCATTCCTGCGCAGAGAAAAAATTACAATACCTGTTGCTGAATCCATCCTCGCACTTCTCGTCGATCGTCAAGGACGCGCGCGCGGTGATAGTGGCCGGCGGCACGATGAAACCAATTAGCGAATTTCGCGACCGATTGTTTATTAATGCCGGCACGGATCCGGCCCGAGTAATGCACTTCACTTGCGATCACATTGTTCCGCCGGAGAATATTCTACCGCTTGTTTTAACCGACAATGATTTCTTGTTTAACTATGCGAATCGGTTCAGTATGGCGACACAAATCCGACTGATACTCACTAGCGCGTGCAGTGTTGTCAAAGGTGGGATTGTGGTGTTTTTTCCGTCTTATCAGTACGAGGCTTGGGTGTGGGGTCAATTCAAAGACGTTGACTTTGGCCGGCCTGTGTTTCGCGAGCCGCAAGAAACGGGTTCCGTTGATTTGGTACTAGAGAATTATCACAAAGCGATTTATAAGTCTAGTTTTAAAAAGGCAATGTTATTTAGTGTCGTGGGTAAGTTTAAGCTAATTATAAATTATATTTCAAATATAATAATTTTTAATATAGTAATTTTTAAGGTGGAAAACTAAGTGAAGGTCTAAACTTTTCGGATGAACTTGGAAGATGCGTTATTGTGTTTGGTTTACCTTATGCCAACGTAAATTCACCAGATTTAAAAGAAAAAATGACTTATTTAGATAGAAACGAGGTAATTGTGAAATTTTTAACTTTGATTTTTATTAACTGTCAATTTACTAACCTCACAATTGCGCGATGTCAAAATTTTGTAGGGTTATGGAGCAGGCAAGAAATTTTATGAAAATCTCTGCATGAAAGCAGTAAATCAATGTATTGGGCGTGCAGTGAGACATATTAACGATTACGCGACAGTTTTGTTAGTGGATGTACGATATAATCGACCTGCGACCAAATCTGCGTTACCTGATTGGATTAAACGATCATTGAAGACTTGCGAACACAGCAAAGCGACAGAACTTATGAAACAGGTTGGCAGCATTGATAAAATGTCATAATACACCAAATCTGATTAAATTTTTAATCTTTTTCAGTTCTTTGCATCGAAAACTTAAATCTACACCTCTAAATCTACAATTGTTTTGTTTAATTGTGAATAAAATCATACAAAATAAAAATGTATGTTTTTTTTTTTTACTTCTAAACTGGTGAAGTTTTTTTGTACGGCATTAGTTGCAGGTTTTTTTCGAGGCGAGCTTTGCTATCTGCGCGTCGGAGGACTCACGGCGTACAAGTGGAATCTTGGAAATTTACGACATAACTTTATTCTATACGAGGCCGCAGATCGGCGAGCAGCCACAAAATATTACCTAGAACCGCCGGCGGCGCGATGATATTAAACGTGACTCCGGCGACCGCTACCGGGGCACGAATCGCGAAAACTTGGCCGAATGCCAGCATTTTCAACACGAAAAAGAGAGAGAAACGCTGGACGAGTAGCCACCGGGAAAAAGCTTTGGAGGGTTATAACTCCACGTGGCATAGGAGAAGGCCGGGTGAGATTATTGCTGATGCATTTCGGAAAATATAAAATACCGGCGCGGGGCACGTCGAGGACCGACTTAAATGGAAAATAAAAGCGAGATACGGAATATTTAAAGGAAATATACGATGCCATAAAGGGAACCGCGTGTATGAAAAACTTTATTGTGATATTTATTGCTCACGTATTTCAACGTGCAATTATTTCTCTATAATATATTTAAATATTCCACTAAAGTCAATTTTATATAAATTGTATATTTGGTTGCATAAATTAAACTTTTTAATGATGAAACTTATCAGTGCATTGCGAGCAATTCATTTTTCATTCGAAAGAATCTGTTCATGATCATGCAGAAAAAGCGTAATTGAATAACTTTCTGGCGTTCATTAAATTCTTTCTAATTCATTTGCGCCATTATCGAAAATATGTATATATAAATATTTAAACACCAATTTGGATTATGCGCAATCGATTGGAGCCGCACATCTTTTGTCGATAGTTAATAAAACGGAAATAACACCGAAATAATTAAAAACCGATCAATTAGTGCACAAAAATAAACAATTATTAGTTGATTTCGTCATGAATGTGTTTTTCATAAGCGATTGCACATTTTGATTTTGTTTTTATTGTTTTTGATGTTTGTTTATGAACAAAACAGAAGCGATGATGAATGCGCATCGAGACGGTAACAATGGCGCTCGCGCGTGTTAAAAATGTGTGTTGTTATGATGTTATAAATACGAATATAGTAGATATGAATATTGAAATGAGGAAGGAAAAAAAATACGTATGAAAATTGGTTTCCGAAAGACTGGCGACGAATGAGCGGGCGCACACGCCGAGCCGACACACCAAGGTTGCTGATTATTTGTTTAATTATTTATACTTTTATGTTATTATATGCAAATTAGACGTCGTAACCGTTGTAACGTGATACTTTGTGAGCACAAGACGAGGTGGAGCATGCAACGTGAGGCACTGGAATTGAATATCATTACTTCTACCGGCTGCAATGCTGCAAAAGCCGAAGTGGACGTAAAAGTAGTACAACGGACGATTGGAATGTTGATTAGGTGATTTTTCATAACACCCTGCCTTTTGTTACAAAGGTAACTAGCACCTAAACATGTAAATTTTAATTTTTTCGTTTTATACTTAAAATTACACTTGAAAAACTGTGTTTTTTGATATTTTTTAAACGTTTTGAGTTTTTTAATGTCAAAAAATACAAAATCTATGAAAATACTTACTTTGTATCATTTTCTATCTTTAAAATTCATCTACTAAGTATTGTAGCCTTGTCTATTTGATATCCGAATAAAGGAAGCGACGGAAAAGAGCACTCACGGCGTATGTTTACGTCGTCCGCGCGCACCGCATGAAAATCCGATGGACGCGCATTTAAATCACTCCTATTCTAAACGATTTCACGGTCACTTGCGTTTTCCTCGCATCTCGCATCTTCCGTACTTACAGCCCACATTCCCTTACGTCTCACCATTATGCTCGGGCGCGTACACCACGAAAAAAGCACTGCGACGTCAAAATAGTAAAAATTTCCTCGAAGCGGACATTGTATTTCCACGTTAACAATGTCTGCGAGAGAAAACCGGAAATGCATTAAGAACACAGGGATGGGTCTCACACTACAAGTATGCACTATATGTGATAATATCACTCCAAAAGCATTTTACGACCTGGAGATGGACACGACACAGAAAAAAATGCGAACAAAATTTTTATGGATTTCTTGATGTGTTGAATTCATTTTTTTGTATTTCGTGTGCAATTTTCACCACACTGGCGGCATGTTTATTCAACGAGTTGCTGGCGCGCTAGTACATTAAAATTAAAAGATGATTCTTTTGTTGGAGGCATTTTTAATCATAAATTTCTTTCGGTTTTCGGCGCGCCGAACAGACGAACAGAACTACATCGCGTGGAGAAACAAAACGCTCATAAACCACGCGCCAAAATACTCAGAGGGCGGAATGGAAATGGAGTATTGTATATTATTTGGTATTTTTCTCTGGTGAAACGCGTTTTTTGGCCGACGTTTTGATAGGAGCAAAATATATGTACAATTTATACCATGACACACAAACATAACCTCTAAACCTTTAAAATTAAACAAATACAACCTACAAATAAATATTTTTAGGTTATTTTTAATTTGGTAGCAAATAAATTAGGTTAAAATGTTTTTGAGGTTAAGATTGAGGAAAAGATGAGTTTTTCTATGATTGTGTAACACTCGTGATATGATAGCACACGTTATGGAATGAGAAAGAGAGGGACGGTCCTCGACTGGTGTGAATATGAGGCGGAGGTGGAGGCGGCGCGTGGTAGCTGCGGCGGCGGCGGCAGGCAGTGATCATAAATATGGAGCGACATATCGGGTCGCGGTTTTCCTGCAGACAGACCGAGCCAGGAAGCCGCGCTAACAAATGGCTTTGTGACATCATATTTACACCCTCCCAGCAACACAAAAATAATATATGTCCGTTCGAATCATTGAGCACGTACGCCACAAGAGTGCCAACGCGTACAACGCGCTGCGCTTTCGCTTTAACCACACAACAACAGATTCTACAACTACAATGTAATAACAATGCAACAAACGGTTGACAAACATTCTTATTTGTGTTTTCTGCGGTTTGAAGTAAATCAAAATGGCGTCACTTCATTTGTATTATTTTGCGATGAATATTAATGATGTTGAAACATATTGTGCGCATATTGCGGGCTGTCGCGGCCTTGCTTTTGAATGCGACACGGTCCGAAGGGAGTTGACCCTTATTAAGAGCACATTATTGTGTCGTCCCCGTTTGTTACGCGCGTCCCGAAGGACATTAGCTCTTCATAATGCGATGTTAAACACTGATAAGAGGATGTTCATCTGATCCCCGGCGCAGATAATTTGTAAATGGGGATTCTGTCTGGATGATAAAGCATGACAACCTCATATTCTAATTCCAAACCCTCGCAAACCCTATTTAAACACACATAACCACAAATAATTCACAGAAAATTAAAATTGTGTATATTTGGTTGCCTATACTATAAAAAATGTAACTTTATATTGTTTTTATGATTATTAGAGGTTATGTAAACACCCTATGTGTGTGTATGTGTGTGGATGATCTGTATGGTGATAATTTGATCAGATAAAGTCAAATCTGCGGTGACAATGGACCGTCGCTGGCCGTGACAATCGTGACATGTTCATTATACAACTGAGGCTGTTTGACGTGCGCGCATATAAATTAATGCGACTCGAATTGCTTATCACTCTCTCTCGGATTGTGCGCGCGACATGACACACTTTGATTAGAACTCCTATGTGACATGTACAACATGACACTTTTAAAAATAAATAAAAACCAGAGAGATTCATCTCTTGCTTTTTGTTCTGTTCTGGGGGGGGAAAACATTTTCGATGATGAAACAATGTGAAACATTGGTAGTCGCATAGTTTTCTTTAAATATTTGGCTAAAAGTCGGCGGGTTTCCCGAAAGGTGCACCGTGGCTGGTAAAAGTCTCGGGCTTTTCTATTCACCAGGAAGGCGCGCCGGTGTTCTGGAAGAACGATAATCGGAACGCGTTCGAAATCCACAATAACACGACCCTACGTTATTCGAATATATAAATTCTTAACATACCTCGAAGTCACCATCGACTATAATACGTACCCATTGTTTCATTCTTGTTTGCGTGCATTCGCCGCCACCCCGAGGGAGATGGGATTAATAAAAACAATTTTCCACACTTGGATGATTATTAACAATCGCCAAGGGTGCTGCTAGTTATGAAAACCTAAACGATTTTTTCCTCAGTCTAAAAATACATAATAAATATTAATAATATTATTAATAAAAATTGTTTTTTCGTTGTGATAAAGCAACTGCTGGACGTCACAATTTGTGAATTTGCGAATGCACAGCAGTGGAATATAAAAGTCGCGTCATTAAATTATTCCGCATTATGCACTCGATCAGCATCATTGATCAATCAACATCATGGCTTGTAACATGTAATATAGGTAGAGTATAAATACACGTGCATTGTCATACAGTGATACACCGAAGGACAATTTTATTCCGAGAACAAATATTTTCCTTGATTATTTTTTTTTCGGCTGAAACTAATTTTAACAAGTGACTTTGCAAAAAAATTCCATTAACCCTGTTTTTTTGTGTTATTTTTTGTTTTTTGTCATTTTGTGTTTCCTATTCATTCTCCTCTGACTTGTTGGTCTAGTAGTATTGTTACAATGTCTACCAACAGCGTAAAAAATGTAACTTTGGCAAATGCAATGCGTCTGCGGCCGTTATTGCACTGCGGGACCTCTAAGAGGGTAATCAAACGCGTACGACGCACCTAGCGCGCACCAAACCCCCGGGTTTCTCTTGTTCCGGGTGTCCGGGTGCTCGGGTGCTTGGGCGTTGTTAGTGTTTGTGTTCGTGCTCACTTCTGCCGTAATGCACTCGACACAATGATTGTTTAATCGATTCGCGCACAGTCCGCTTGGTCTTAAAGAACCGCCGCGCGATCCGGATGCCTCGCGGCCCGCCGGCATTAACTGATGTTTGGACAAAGTGCCCGATGCGTGCACCGATGTCCCCTTTCATC